CTAAAAAATTGAAAGATAAAATAGTTAGATGAAGTAAAATACACTTTTAGCCTATTATTCCTAGTCAAACGGTCATTACATTGAGTCTATTATTTTATTATGAGAATTATGGTCAATTCTATTAAAATTTGATAGAATTGGTTAAAAGCCAAACCAAACATAGGCTCAAAGAGTATTTTTGCCAAAGGACCTAGAGTGCAATAAAAGTTAAAATTGAAGAACAAAAATACTTCTTTTGGAAGATTGAGGATGCGATAGAAAAAAGGAAATAAGTTGGGGACCTCTGCTACCATTTTCCTAACTGATGCCCCGTTTTGATATCAACATGTTTGGTGTAGGGTCAAAAGTGGCTCATGGACCAAGATTTGGTCGTTCGATTAAGTTAAGGTGCATAGAGATTGATGTAATTTAGTCCTGTTGAAATTATAATATAATTTTTTTATTAATTTTTAATCACATATTTTATTAACTTTTATTAATACTTGTCGAGAGTCTTATTTTAATCTCCATCAAATAAGGTTATTCTTTAAAGATGTTGCTACGTATACATTAAGATTTACTTAATTGATTACATAATGTCACATATCATTATTAATTTTTAATCACATATTTTATTAACTTTTATTAATACTTGTCGAGAGTCTTATTTTAATCTCCATCAAATAAGGTTATTCTTTAAAGATGTTGCTACGTATACATCAAGACTTACATAATTGATTACATAATGTCACATATCATTTTACCATTTGTCAGTTTAAAACACAATCAACATTTTTATCCAATATTTTCCCCCAAATCATATTATGTAATTCATTATGTACATTTTTAATGTACAAGTAGCAAAATTTTATTAATTATTACCAGTGTTTTAAAAAGCGTAAAGCGTGGTTAGACCAAACTTCAAGCTTTACGAGTCTGGACGAGCCTAAGCGTAAAAAAAGTTTTTTAATTTTAAATTTTATTTTAAATTTTTAATCATTGTAAAAAAAAATTCAATAATTCAAATAATACATATCAAACATCTAAAATTATAAAATACTATATTTACTTAATAATTCCTTCATAAAGATAAGTTTCAAAATCATAATTACATAACGTAAATAACTTGTAGTTTAAATCTTATATAATCTAACTCTTTATCGGACTCCAATTCAATATNTCTTTATCGGACTCAAATTCAATATCTTCTTCTTCATCTAATTCGTCATCCGCATTGTCTGATAAAAAAATCATCATTCTCGGACTTCCCAGACTCCCTTATTTCATTTTGATAATTTCTTGTACCTCTTGTAGGTTGTAAGATATCATTCTCCTCCTCACCCTCATCATCACAACTCTCTACAAATCAAGATTGTGCATTAGTAGCATTACTTACTTGCTAGTAAAATCTCTAGTTTGGCCTTCCTTTTCTTCTTGTTCATCAACCTTGCATTAAATTGGTCATCCTCATCGTGTCAAGTCTATTCATTTTCTTGGTAAAAAAAGAAAAAGAAACAAAAAGAAATGTACATTTAATGAGGCGGAGGCGCATCTAGGCGTCCCTAATAACTAGGTGCGCCTAGGAATGCCTATGCGAGCATTAAGCTGTCAACATTATTGTTGACCGCTTAATTCCCGTTTAGGCTCAAGGTGCCTAGACGTTTTGTTTAGAACACTGATTATTACTTCCATTTGCTTAAACACGATTTTGCAATTAATTAAGGCGTTACTCCCATTTGCTTAAACACGGTTTTGCAATTAATTAAATTTAATGGCAGAAATTTGTGACAGAAAAGCAAGCCAAGTAGCTACAAAGCACAAGATCTTAGACCTTATTTGAGATCTGAGGAATATTTGGGCATCCATTAGCGCCAAAGACATGCTAATAAGAAACTAATATTTTCCTTCTATTTTTACGACTAGTAACAAAAGTGATCGAGTTGAGTATCGTTTTCATGAACACTACAATATTAATTGTCGAAATTTATGAATTTCAAAATAAAAGAAAACTATAATAAATACGAGACAACATATAAAGTTTGAATGGTAAAGGCGTTAGGAAGCATGATCTTACCCATGTTCATCTACTTTAATTCAACATATCATACTAATGACAATATTCGATCAAGATTAGGGTCGAATGTTCTAATTTATATTGCAATCATTATCGAGGAGAGTTGAAATTATTTTCATTCATGAATTCCCTATATCTCCTCTATGAGAATTTTTTTAGATAAAAATGCATTAGAATCGACAAACGATCATTCATGACCCCACAAGAATTAAAGCATATCTCATCTTGTATCTCAACTTATAATACTCATCACTTCGACCTCAAAAATAGATTGTATTTCTTGAAGTCATTTTTTATTTTATTTTTCTCAATTTCTCCAGAGAATTTCCTCAAGAATTTCTTGTATTCGAATCCCAAACCAATCAATATATAAAATTTAATTATCGTGGATTAAATTTATAAATTTATAAATAAAATTAATCGTTTTCAATAGAAAATTTGGAGGAAACGATGAAAAGAACATAAAGAAATATTGATTTTTTGTATTATGACTCTAGGATTAATAGAATGAAAAAATGAAAGAGAAATATTGAAAAAATATGATTATTACATATTGAAAGATATTTTCAAAACCCTGTAAATAAGAGGATTTTATAATATTTGAATTTATACTTTCTATTTAAAAGCTAGAATGCGAAAAGTCATGACATTTGAATACCTCATGGCTATTTAAGATTAAAAAAAAAAAAATCTTGATCTAATACCTCAAGACTTTCAAAAAAAATTGAAAAAGTATATATTGAAATCTAAAATTTTGATAGAGTATTAAAAAGTCTTGAATAGATAGACCCAGACTTTTTAAATCTATAAGCCTATGTTTGATAGCATCCATTTTCTGGGAGAGTTGGAAAGTTTTTCCATTTTTCACTTTTTACATTGTTTGATAGCACATATTTTTAAGGCAAAATTTTTTCCACCCACCTCCACCACGCACCTGCTTTCTTGGATTGTGAGAAAAGATTTTCTAGGTTTTTTTTGTTTTAGAATTTTTTTTTTGGCAATGTGAAAAAATTCTAGACATAATGGTAAAATATTTTTTTATTTTTATTGACAATTTTCATGCAAAACAAAAGCCAAACGAATGGTATTCGGTATGATAATTTTTTTTTCAATTTATTTATTTATTTATTTATTTTTGTAATTAGAACAAATTCTGACCCAATAGTAGAAAAAATTATCATTGTAATGTAAAATTTTCATAAAAAACTAAGTCAAACGGACACCAAAATTTCAACATTTTTCAGGTGGAAAATTATATCAATCAAACACAATTAATTACAATTCTCAATAAAACAATTTTTAGACAATTCAATTCCCTGTAAAACATTTTTTTCCACCACTTTTCCACATTTGCAATCAAATGGATCCTAAAGTTATTTAAAAGTCTAAATTGAATACACAAAGTCTATTGAATCAATGGCTATGGAAAAGTCCAAATAATTGAGAAATATAATATGTTGATCCCAAAATTTGAACAAACGATGTGGCCAACATGCCTTGATTTTATTCACGTCCACGTAGCTCTCGTCCTGCACACTTGACAAACCATTGAGAACGTGACCTTCTCTTATGGTGGGGAAGGTGGCAGACGGTCAAGTCATTTTATTTGTGAATAAATATTTGGGTGTAGAAAGTGCTAAAGACATGAACCATAGAAAGGGGTTCAAATTCGGGAGTATTATGTAGAGAAAATAATGACATCAAAATGATTAGTGGGTATAAAATTGTATTATCTTCAAATGACATTAAGTGTAAACTTTTATAATAAAAAATGAGAAGTATATACTGTTTGATGGAAAGATACGTGGCCTCATCTTGACAATCGAGGTGCCTTATTATAGATGTTATTCTATCAATCCTAGGCTCATACGCATTAAATGTTCCAGACCGTTTGCAACCCTATGGCCTAGGCCGACATGTAAGGACTATGCATAACAAATTGGCTTGGTAAAGTGGTTGTTGAGTGAGTGATCACATCAATTAATCATAAGAGATCTTGTATGAAAAATCCCTGCACCACCTCGCCTCGTCCTTGAGGGTTCGACCCTTTCATGGGAATTCGGCCTCTTAATGGGGTTCGAAGAAATTGTCATGTGGGTAGAGTGATGTTGAGTGTGAGCCTGAGTTTGCTCATGATGTGGTGTGGCTGCCATGTGACCACGTTTTAGAGTTTTGTTGAAAGGGGCGTAACAATGGTCCTTCAAGTTCATGTATAAATATTCAGATAATGCGTGAACTTTTAGATCAAAAGTGTATCATTCATATCGTGTTCTGTTTTTGAAGAGGCGATGCCTTGTCATGAAGTATTATGCGTTTGTGAACTTGTGCCCTTTTGACATTTTTCTACTGCTAAGAGATAACATTAAGCTCCATTTCATCCGAGAAATACTTGATGTAGGGAATTAGGTGAAGATCTGCAGATATGTTAACGAAGTTTCGATAGCAAATTTGATTTGGTGTCAAATTCGCAGCAATGTAAGAGCTCGGTTCTACAAATCGACAAACTCAATAATTAATGGGAAAAATAATCACTTGTGGAAACAATACTAGGATTTAATAGAATGACAGACTCGTTAAATAATCAAAACACAGTACTTGCATATATTGAGTTCAAAATTAACATAATATCCCAACAATTACAACTTACAAGGCTATACCCCATGCGCTCTCAATACTCAAAAGAGAGAAAACTCCATTTCTCTTTATACACAAATTACAATATGAATTCAACATTTACTTAAAAACCTCTCTCTCTCTCTCTCTCTCTCTCTATGGTATTCATTTACATTTGAAGCTGAAACAAACCTTGAATTCAGAATCTCTTGTGAACCTTCTCAAATTTAAGTTGTACCACTCACCGGGAAAAAGGGTCGTAAAATAATAAATAAGGGACAAAATGACCGTTTTGGATGAATCTTCGAGGAGATTTTTCATAGGAGTTTAGTGATCACCTCGGCTGTGGTTGTGCAGGGAAAGAGCAAGTTGGCCTCATTGAAGATCGAGGAGATGGATTCCTGAACAACATAGTCTGTGATTGGTTTACCATGTCGACCATGGAAGGGGTCAGATAAGCCTGGCTCATACTATGTGTCGAATCACCTCGTGCAGTTGCCCTCTGCCAAGAATGTGAGCTCAATCCTGACAAAACATAAGCCCTTCCGGATGTTTCATAAACACGGAGGTTGGCCATTCTCTCTTGCATTTCCTGTAATTCAGCATCCAACAAGACACACAATCTGTCACCGGCTTGTGCAGATACAGTTTCCAATAACTTCCTACGACAACTCTCTAGGACAGACACAGCAGAAGCTAAATCACCATGTTCAGCAGCAACCCTAGCTTCTGCCATGGCTTCTGCAGAATGGAGCCTGTTCCGCTGCTTGTCCACTTCCATTGAAATCACTACTCGTTCAGTTACAACTGGCCTTTGAATTTTGACGTCATTTGCAGCATTTAGAGTTACCAGAACTTTGGAAACAGGGTCCTTGTATATACATCTAATATTTAGCAGTGACATCTCATCACTTGATTCATCAATTGGAATATCAGTTGTTACAAGAAAATCTCTTTCTTCTTCAGCATATAGATCTCCAACTTCAATAATGCCCTTTCTTTTATCCGATGCTAAACTGTTCTTGTAACTTCCCGATTTTATTGAACTGAGATGCAACACCGGGTTAATGCATTCAACATCCACATGCAATTCCTGTATGACAACACTCAAAAGCCCCCCAATGCACTGTGCAAAGGCATCTTGAATTACATTCTCTGCCTCTATAAAAGAAAATGTTCCCCCTGAAGTTTCTGAGATAGAATGCATTGAGACTGCATCATGATCTGCACCAAATCCAAATGCATGTACAGGAATGTGGAGACTTGAAGCATCATTGAAATGCATGGAAACTGGGAGTAGTGATGGATTAGCCGTACACGTATTGCCACTTACAGGACTGCTAACAGTATACGTGTCTCGTCCATCAGAGAACAGTATTATACTGCTAACTGGATTTTTCCACTTGCGTTCAGTCATCACCTTGGCAACCTTTCTAAGGCCCTCCGCAATGTTTGTCCCGCCACTTGCACTCAGAGAATTAACAGCTTGTAATGCTTCAAGCCTTCCATTGTCGATCATTCTACAAAGAGGAAAGAGACGACGAGCAGTGGAGGAGAAGGCAATCACTGAAAGCCTGTCAGAAGGCCCTAGATTTTGAATCACGAAACCCATTGCTCGTTTAAGCAGAGCAAGCTTCGTACCTGACATGCTGCCACTAACATCAAGCAACGTCACAAGATCAACTGGTGCACGGCGAGTTTGAGATGTTAATGGCAAGCCACCCTCACATATTCCAGAATGTTGTAATCCAAAAGTAACTGGAGCTTTGAGATGAATTAAAACAGTGAAATTACTATGTGATGCTGATTTTGGAACAGCTGAAACTTCTGCATACGTTTTAACCTCTAACGATCCAGTAGAATGGCCAACAGCCAAGTCATTACTGGTTGAGGTTTTGCCAGTGACAGTAGGCTGGTCACTGAGAAGCTCGTCGTCGTCGAAGATATCAGGTTCCGTAGTGTGAAGAAGTGAAGAAATGTGACGATTGATATCCACCCGTGGAGGGGGCAGTTGTCCAGTAACGGTCGTCCAAGCATCATTCTGAGGCCAAGAAACATTATCAATCCTCACTTGTCCCTGAGATTTATTGGTGGCAGGACTCTGAAAAGGGATTTCTTTCCAGTTCACTCGGCAAACAGGACAACTTTGCTTTCCGTGCTTTACATTAGAAGTAATACAATGGAAATGGAATGTGTGAGAGCATTCTGCGGTGAAAATGGCATGTCCATGGCCAGGTTTCATGGATGCCAAGCATATTGCACATGTTTGCTGCAATTAAAGATTAGATCAAAAATTACTCAGACAACATTCAAAGCAATAAACTACTGCAATGAAGAACTTAGCCCCTGTTTGACAACCATTATTTGAAAAACTATTTTTCCTACATAATTATTTTCAACCACACATTTACAAAATAAAATAATCTACAAGTAAACCCAAATTTTTTTCCTACTTTTTAACCACACATTCTCCTAAAAATTATTATTCAAAACATTGTTTTTCCCAAATAATGGTTGTCAAACAAGGGCTTAAGTGCACATTTGGCATGAGTCAGTATAATGAACAAGATTTTAGCTCATATTTACACTTTCCGGTAATACACACTTTCCGGTAATACATAGTACTCTACCAAACATTCCAAAAATGTTAACATAAATGAGAGTACATGAGTCAATATTGCCATGATTCAACCATTACCACACTCTGAGAAAAAAAAATTTCTTGAACTATTGATCATATCTAATCATTTAGAATGTAAATATTTCAAATATTTATGAGGTAGTTTTTCCAGCTATACTAAATTCCAAGCAAATTTTAGTGTAATATTGTGAGATAGATAGTACATAACTTAATGCATTTGCTGTCATATCATGTCAGCAAAACGACTAACTGTCTACTACCGGCCAAGAATCCCTAGCATTGGTAAAATAATTCAACAGAATTAGTTAGTAGCTAGCTAAATAGTTCACAAGAAATGAAGATTTGGAATCATCGAAGTCCCTCTTCGCCAAATATCATCTTGCTGACTTGAATTTGTAAATTAGATGGACTTGTAATGAATTCAGACTCCTAAATAATGATTACAGTCGGCAAGAAATGCATAATCCACCAATTAGAGTTAGTTCAATGGTGATCCAAAATGCTACATTACTCAAACATACATTAGAATAATTATTCCAGTTGGTAGTACAGCTGCTTTCATCAGCTTGTTATACAATATCTATGAATACTTTTCTGTCAAGGACCAAACGAACATCTCTGTGCTACATTATTAAGGTTTCTGCGTTTATACATTGAAAAGACAATGAACCAGTGAATGACGGGTAAATGCACACATGTAAAGTAAGACCAAAGATAATCTCAAATGATTAATTCGTAAAATGTAAAGGGCAATAAGCAAACTGTAAAACCAATAATGAAGCTTTTGAGGCATTAAAAAGTCAGTAAAATTACTTAAAGCTAATATATCAAAAGAAGTAGAAATCATTAGTGCCTACAAGGTCTCCACTCTACTTTTTCAACTCTTGGCCTTACTTTGATATGAAGTCATTGCATCAAAGTTGTGAATAAATGGTCAAGTTGAAGACTTATATCATGAAAAGGGGCGATGAAATAGCCAAATGAGCATTTTCATGTGTGTAAAACAGTTGAGTTGCTGACCAAGAAAAGCACTTTCTTTCCCCTCTGAGAAGGGGAAAGAGGGAAACAAAAGATTACAGTGTTGCTTCCCTTTTAGTCTTTTATAATAAGGCCAATGACTATTGTCCTCAAAAGGGACTCCACCACTTTATCCCCACCTCACACTGATCAAAACTACATCACAATACATATAATCCTGCATCTTCAGTACGAACTCGACCGCACTATGCAAAAAATAAATAAATAATAAACAAGAATTTAGCTTATTTTTCTTTTTTAATTCCGCCCGTCTAACTTATCAAACGTGGCATTCGCCATTGTCATCATCCCTACACATATCTACCCCACGTGATAGGGACACCCTTTAGACAAATTCAGTCAACAACTCCATCAGTAAATAAACATTCATTTATTCCTTCAAGAAAAAAAAAAAGATATAAACAATTATTTCAATGGCAATAAAGTAAGAGAAATCTAATTCAAATATAGTGGTTTCTTTAATCGATTCCTAAATCCAGAATTATTGCTAGTATATAGAAACTAAAGAAAAACAATTTTTTAATTACTAAAAAAAAAAAAGGCTGAGAAGAACTATGCACAAACCACAAAGATTTCCATTTTAATTAAACGAAAAAGGGAAATATCAATCATATATTTACCATAAATAGAAAATTATTTTTATGACAAATTCTTAATATTAAACACAAAATTTGAACACTAAGATGCAAAAAATTATGCATACATAACATTACGTGCAAATTTCTATATTTGTACCTTGGAAGATTTGGAGGAGTGTTTAGGCAAGAGGAGGCCGGAGGAAGACGGAGTGGGGGTGGTCGGCATTTGAACCCGGCCGTAATCAGAATTCCGCGGCGGCGTTGGAGACAAAGATACCGCATCGGAGAACCTCCTAGCTGAAGGCTGCGGCAGCGGAGGTGGCGGTGGCGGTGGCGCCACCACTGGCGCATCCTCTGTGATTCTTGGCTCATAAAGACACGTATTCAGCTTCAACCCAAGGGCCATCTTCACTTTACTCCATTTGCTGCCACCACCCATTTTTGCAGCTTTCACCACCACACTTCAAGAATCACTAAACCTATACTTACAAATACAGGCATGTAGATACAGAAACAGATATGCATGCATGTATACAGAGCAACATTCTATTCAAATACAGATATCAAAGTCAACTTGTTCATTGAGCTGTTTGTTTGTTTGATTTATTGTTTTATATTTTCGGTTTCTCTCTGTTCTTGGTTTGTGTGCTTTCTTTAAACTCTGACACGCCAACCAATGGCTTTACGTTACAGTCTTATCTATATATATATATATATATTGCCTATAAGTATAATAGTTGTTGAATTATTCTAATTGTACCACTAGATGACAATGTGATTGATAATGTATGAATTGTCAAAAAATTGTTGGTCGCAAAAACAAGTTGTTTTGCGAACTGTCTAACGATAATTTGTCACGTGACATGTTGTCAACAAAATTATCATCGATATTTATAAAGCAAGGCTTGATTGATAATTGTTAGGATTGGAGGTAGAGTTTTGACCTTGATGGAGGGTAGACTTTGGATTTAACATGTTTTGAAGTGGAGAAGAACATGATAATAATGCCAAAAGAATTTGTTCATAGTTTACTAAATATATCTTTACAACTTTGGTCAAAAATTCAAGTTCTTAGTAGTGACTAGTTAATAATATTTATATTTTGATTTGTTTTGATTTCATATTTTATCTTATCCCAGACTATATAACTAAGCGTGATATGACATAAAAATAATAGATGTATATGATTTTCGATCTTCTTTAGAAAATCTCAAAATGATTCATGTCAAGTACAATAGCTTTCATTTTATTTTGTTCTGCGAATGATTTACGATATAGTCATGTTTAATTTGGATCAAATCAAAGACTTGAAACATAATGCATCTTTAAGTATATAACACCTCGTATAATAAAAATTACATTAAGGCAAAATGTTGTTCGATTTTGGAGTCAAAATGCAAGTTGTTTTTTATGTTTGGGTGAAGTAATGAATTGGTGCTTTATTGCCAAATCTTAAAAATCAAGTCTCCATTTGCCAGAGTAAAATGGGTAGGAAAATAAGGGTGGCCTAGAAACTAAAGTCTCACTCTTTCTCAAACCAAACCAAAGTTGTTTCCTACCAAACTTGTTAATAAAATAATTTCACTTATTTCCCCGGGCACATTTGATTGTACTTAAAAGAAAACTTAATTTTAGAATATGCAAGATATAAATATTTATTGTTTTCAAATAATCTAATAATACCTTATTTTAAAGATAATGTATAATAAAATTACTTTATGGTCCTAAAGCGACAAAAAATATATATATATAATTCTCCCATAGTCCAATTTGGAATATAAAGAAGTAATGTAGAGATGGATGACTTATCTTTCCAGCATTGTGGCTAAGATAATGGAATTATCTTTGAAGATTAAGGCACTACAAATGGTTTACCATACTTGATTATTTGCTAGGACTTTGACCAATATAATATATATA